TCTTCCCTTCCCAAATCTTCCCTTCCCAAACCTTCCCTTCCCAAACCTTCCCTTCCCAAACCTTCCCCTCCCCTCCTCCTTCTTCCCTTCTCTTTTTTCTTTTCCTTTTCTTCTCTTTCCTTATTTTTTTCTCCCCTCCCTCTCTCTCTCCCTTTTCATGTTATCCCCTTATCCAAAACCCGCTGTCACCCCTTATATAGTAGGTCAGAGACCAGCATACCCATTCCCCTGCTAAGTGTGTAACGTACTAAAAAAGATGTTTTGTGGGCTCCCAAACTTTCGTCATTCCTTCCAAACACAGGCATTTACCAGTCCTAGGTTCATAAAGTAAATTAACAGTTGTTTCTCTCTAAAGAGGGCACGTCTAAATCCTACGAGGAACGGCTGAGGGAGCTGGGGGTGTCCATCCTGGAGAAGAGGACCCTCAGGGGACACCCTTTCCCTCTCCACAAATACCTGGGAGGAGGATGCAGTGGGGTGGGGGCCGGTCGAGTCCATCAGGGGCCGGGGGAGGGGGAGGTTAGCGCCCCCTGCAGGACCGGCAGTGGTACGCTCCGCCGGCCGGGCCATGTTCCCGCCCTCGGGGCGCGCGCGGGCTCCCTCAGGTACCTGTGAGGGCGCGGCGGTATTGCTGGGTCCGGAAAGCCACGGGAATGTTTGAAAGCCTCGTATGGAATAGCTATTACATTCAGCTGAGATACGAACCTAAAAAATAACACCTACTTTTAAAAAAATAAATATAGAAACATATATATATATAAATAAAGGTTTCCCTGCCATAGGAAGAAAAAAATAATAATTAAAAAAAACCTTTGAATTTCATAAATGGGATAACCAGCTAGAGTAGTTTTAAAAAGGATACTGAAAAAGCAGGGGTGTCAAAGGGTTAAAAAGAGATTAAAAGAAGGTGTTAGTTTTATGGCAGTCAAATCTAAAATTTAAATCTTTGGTTTTCCTCCAGTGGCATAAATATCATAGTTCAAAACAGGGGTGGGAGGCTGAACAGAAATGCCTTTGGAAGACATAACGTGTATCATAGTAATATGCACAAAAATAACAGTGATGAATATTCCTGCTGGAAAAATACAGCATTAATAATACAACATTAATTTACTGTTTTGGTTCAGCAGGAGTTTTGTTCCCAGTGGCACTGTTGCCTAATGCTGCCAAGTGCTGAGCACATCCTGTCTTCTGAGAAAACAAATGATGCCATAGGATAAGGAAACACACAAACAAAAAACAGCACACGACATGGCAGCTCCCTGATCTCCCATCCTCAGTCAAAATTTGGAGGGTAGAGCACAGTTTTAAGAGTATAACAAAAAAAACTAATGCTAATTGGCAAATGCAAGATACTGCCCATGATAAGGATTGGAAAGGTCAGGGCTTGATATTATTCAATGAGTACATTTAGATTATCAGCTAATAAAATATTAAGATGTGTAATTCTTTTTAAAAAATTGAATGTCCTGAATATGTATTTAAAACTCTATTTTAACAAATCATTGCATTGTAGTAAGTTATAAGTTCATCAAGATTGCTAACTTAGTTAAAAAACAAACAAACAAACAAACAAACAAAAAAACCCAACCCAAACATCAAAACCCCACTAACTTAACTTAGAAACATTAATTCTTTAATGTTACCTATATTCTGAAAAATTGTTGATTTAAAAAGAAAACTTGAGTAGTTTTAGTCTCATTAGTTGTAGTGTCACTGAGAAAAGAGTGGGTACAAGAAAAAAGAGTATGAAACACACAGAATAAGTATCTTACTGCTTTGGTAAAGAAGTTGCATACACATAAAGGCTTGTAAATATTGAATGACTGAGAAAATAATTCAGTTACTTAATTTGCATTCCTGTTTACTGTTGTGCATTTAACTATCCCAGCCTGACTGTGCTGCCAGTATTTTTCTCTGGAAACCCGTTCAGTTTCATTCTATCTTCTGCTTCATCTCTCTTATTTTAATTGTTTATTATTTGTGAAAAGGCTGTTCACACATTATCACACAGAAGTGATGATTTTGTTTGGACCATACGGTTTATCTGGTGTTGGAATTTTTGTCTCATGGAGCCTAATGTTCAGAGATAGTTTAAATATTTTTAGAAGCAACCGTATTGTGTATTTCAGATCCATCTTGCAAATATATGTTGAAGATTCTCTAAGTAGAACTTATAAGAATAGGAATTGTATGTAATAATCTGGAATTATATGGGTCTTTTTCAAAACACCATTTTTTAAATTCTACAATAAGGTTTATGTGCTGCAATGTCTATCATGGATCTTAACACACGTTGTTTATAAGAAAATATGTAAGTAAACCTGAGTAGTTAAGTATTAAAGCATCCACAGAGGCAAAAAGTCTCAATGCTGCATCAATATGTTCCTGGTTCATCATTCTGCTTTGAAAGTGGATTCACATTAATTTTGTAGTTGTAGCAAAAATTCCAAATTCAACTACATGATCTAATAGTTTGATAAATTTTGCTTGGGCTTTCTGACATTCATTGTACTTCCAAGAAATGCAAGATCTTAGGCTGGCTGAAGTTTAGCTACACATGCAAAAGTAGTTTAAACTTTAAAAAAGGGATATTCTTTGTTATGGTTACAACTGTGCATAGGAATTGATATAATTTGAATGAGAAATATATGAATTCATAGAGATATTTTTTATTTATACATTAATCATTAGATTATATGGTTCAGAAAAAAATGAATCCCAGTGATGAAGAAACTATGAAAAAACCCAGTGTGGCGAACCTTGATAAACTTTTAGATGACTTCTCAGACATAGAAAAGGTAAGTGAAGAAGGTAAAAAATGTTGAAACTGCTATCTATAATTATTTTGTGACATTTTTGAGAGCTTTTCAAGAGAAAATTTCTTCTGAGTTGTATCAGCTTATTGCTATACCTTGTAATACCAATTATACCTTGGCATCATAGAAGTGAATTCTGTGAAGTCACTTTGAGTGAGAAACAGTTTATAACTAATTATGTAAGTCAGCATTCTTAGTTCTGCAGGTAAACTTGCAATAGCACAGGCCCTCAAGTCTAGCATTGTTCTTCTCTATAAAGGAATTTCCTGAATTATGAGAAACAATAGGGGTTAGTGACTGCAGTGTTTGAAATTGCTGAATTAATTTAAAACTCAAGATTTAACATTTAAATCAAAACATATTAATATAATGTTAGTATTTTTCCAATTTTCTAGAAAATAACAGAAATTAATGAAGCAAATAACCTACTGATTCATCAGCTGGAAAAATGTAACAGGTTGCTAACATTAAGCCAATCGAAGGAGGAATCAATAAAAGAAGGTAAGTTAATTTTTTAGTAAGGTCTGATTTTTACATATATTCAGGAAGTTCTGTGAGATATTTCCATTATTTTCAGTCGTATAAAATAAAAGATAAAATAGCAAGGATCCAAGATATTGTGTGAAAAGCAGCAATGACTAATCTTAGGTCATATAATTAAATCCATCTCATAGTAACAGTTTGCATTAATATTATGAGAATTAAAACTTTTCAATGAAAGCTAATACAATGGTACTTACCATTTACAGGTGGGAATTATAAGTCTATAATTGTAATTAAAATGTTGCCAAATAAAGGTGGAACTAAAGAGAAAACTATAAAATTAAGATTTTTTTGTTTTATTCCAGAACTGTGTGTTTTCAGATGAGTACTTGAGATGAGAGATAATATCTACTACTTAGTATAGATTTGTGATTGCTTATTTTTCTTTAGCTGGTAGAGTTGCTGAAAGGTGCACTTTTTTGTAAGACTTTTATCCCTTGGAAGTCATCTTGCTAAAAATTAGGAAACAGGATAGGAATAAACTTCATTTCATGCCGGAGTGAGATTGCCAGTTGGTTTCGCTTGAATCTTCACTGGGACTTTCATATTTTAGCATAATCAGAAATTGAATATTGAAGCTGAGAAATTAAGCTATTGACTAAGAGAGTGAAGTTTGCTAATCATGATAATCCATTCAGATATACCAAAAAACTCATTATATAGGATGACAGGTGATACAAAGGGGAGGTGAAAACCAGTAATAGTGCATATGGGAGGCATTTTATACAAACAGTGGTTGAACTTGGTTGGCAACTTCTCAGGAAACAGAGATCTTGATGTCCTCTGAACAGTTCTCTTAAAATGTCAGTGCTTGAAGAAGCAAACGTAGTGATAGGCATGATTAAGGAAGAAAAAGAAAAACAAGCTTCGTGCCCATGTAAGGTCTGTGATTTTCATGTAACTTTCTGGTTCACACATATGAAAACAGACATACCAGAACTAGAAGAGGTAAGAGAGAAGGTGGTAAGGTTTCATATTGTGAGGGAGGAGGATCCAAGCACTCAGGAACCAATCATGTAACAAGGATCAAGTAGGGACTTCACCATCCACTGCACCCAAGCAGTGCTGGCCCAGCTAGGACTGCCACAGTCAACCAGAAGTGCGCATTACCAAACACATATGTAGAGATGGGAGTGACTCGGGAGGCCGAGTCAGAATGGAGCTCAGAAATGGTCACAAAGGCCAGACATGGTCCAGGGATCATCACCTCCAGTGCTGAGGCAGGTCTGATATCAAGCCAGAACGTCACTCCCTAGATCATGACCAGGGTCTAGCATGTGGCTGTGACACAGCTGCACCATAGGCCCAGGGCAAAAGCCTCCGCTTAAAACCAACTCCCAAGGACAGGAGGGGCAGCCATTTCTGAATCAACCTCCAGCAAGGTCACCAGCTATACTCTTTCTAAGATCACCTTGTGCCCAGCCAAGCACCTAGAAGATTCATTCACAATTTTGGAACATCTGAAGGAAGACTTAAGTTGACTGGAAACCTTTTAGCCTAAAGAGAAGGAATAGAGCTGATATGACTCAGAGCAGCAACACTGTGAATGGCACAGAGAAAGTGACTATGGGATTCATTGTCCAATGTAATAAGAAAACTAGATGGAAATAAATCTTGATTCATTTAAAGCTTACAACAGGAGGAACTTTTCCATACATTTCAAAATGAAGTTAAATCAATTCCACAGAATCAATATCCACAGAAATTAAATCAATATCCACAGAAACCTGTGGATAACAGAAGCATAGATTAGTCCAATAGGATTAGAAAAAAATCATGAAAAAAACCCTTTAAAACATGGAAACACTATCTCTCACAGAGGTCTCTCTTCTGTGTTTCAGAAGTTGAGAGGATGTATCAAAAGTAGTGTTTATCTAGCTTTTTTTCCTCTTTCCTAAAGTATTTTGTACTAAGTATTGTGATGTGGAATAGTGAACTGAATGAACTTTGGTTTGAGTCAGAGACACTTTTTTTTTTATAAAGCAGAAAAGACAGTGCAGGACAGTCACTCAAAAACAGAACAAGAGGCTTCATTATTGATGAAACCAGAGAAGAGTGGGTTTATATATAATAGATTGTAAAAGGGGAAAGGAAAAGGTGGCCAAAAAGAAGAAATTATTCTTACTGTAGAACCTATAGGGTAAAAAGTAGCAGAGAAAGTGAAAGAGACAACTTGGGAATCACAGCAGCTGAGAGGACTGCAACAGGGAAGTAGAATGTACTGAAAACAGATCAAAGTCAGAAGAGATTTGAGCTTTGTAAACAGCAGTGCCTCACTTTGATAAGAGAGAAATTATTTTATGAGATAATTATGCTGATACAACTGAAGAGAACAGCCTCTGGAGCTTCTTTTGAAACACGCCATGGAAAAAAAAATTGTGGGTGGCAGAAGTCCAAGTAAAAATAGCAGAGGAATCAGCCTGAAATACGAGCCAGTTTTAGCAGCAGGGATAGTCAGGAAAAAACAAATTTCAGTAATACTGAAGTCATGGAAGTTATATGGAGGCAGTTAGACAGAAAGCAGAATTGTTGGGAGATAAGGATTCTGGTCAATGAGTAAGAGATGTTGCAGAGATATTAGTAGCAGTATCCAAAAAAAAAAAAAAAAAGAAAAAAAGTGAGAAGCACGAACTTTGAATAGAATACGTGTGATGTGCAACATCCAGGAGGTGATTCTGAAAGTTACTTGATGGTAAAGAAGTAAAATACAAATGAGATACCAAATGGGTAGGATGTATTTAGAAATTAAAAGTGTTGTCATGGTTGTTGTGTTAGGTTAAGCTCAGAGAAGTTGTGGAGTCTCCCTCAGTGGAGATGTTCAGGAATTGTCCAGACACAATCCTGTGCCATGTGCTCTGAGATGACCCTGCTTGAGCACAGAGGTTGGACCAGATAACTCACTGTGGTGCTTTCCAACCTGACCCATTCTGTGATTCTGTGCTTTGCACCTTTATTAAATTCACCTGCCATACTGACCCTTCAAAAGAGGTGATGGCATATGCTCTATTCAGAATCAGAGTGCTAGAAATTTCGCATCTAAAGCTCAATTCTTTGTATAAAACCTTTGGAAGGTCGAAACACTGAGGGTTAAAAAAAAACACCACCACGTCTTTGATACTGATGTGGTTATAGAGGGATCCTGTGGAGAACTAGAGAAGATGCAAGGGACGAAATACAGCATTGATATTTTCATTCTTGCTCTGGCAACAATTATTCTAACAGACTGTCGTCGTGACAATGGCATTTATACAGTGGTATTGCCAATTGTGGCTTGGAAAAAGGATTTCTCCTAGCCTTATGTCCCAAACTCTTTTCCAGAACCAGCTCAGCCAGTTTCTGAAAGTTTCTTTTAAAAGACTTGGCCTAAAGGTAATTGAAATTGCTTACAGCAGAGAAGCAGAAAGAAAGAGTGCTCTGGAAGGAAAGACTGTGGTTCCACCTATCCTAAAGGGTTTGTGGCTACTACTGGTAGTGGGGTGGAGAAAGTGGAATTTTATCCTGGCTTGAAGAACTCTGTTAGTATGTGAAACAGAAAAATAGTAGCATTTCATCACAAGAAATCTCCAACAAGTGAGAACCTGAGGGCTCCTTGATATCCTTGACTGCCAAAAGTTTCTCTGTAGAACTGTTTAAGGTAAAAGAAGACTAGGAATTCTGAAGGAAAAGCAAAGAAAGAAAGAAAACTTCTAAAACTCTAGGGAGAAGGCAGTGAAACACTTATACCCAAGATAAAGCGGGAAAAGATAAGCAGCTTGGCAAGTATATACGTTCTGGAAGGTCATAAATTACCTGTATTTTCTCTTCATATGTTCTTTGCTGCATGATGTTGAGATCCAGAATGGCAGTATTTGTTTGATGTATATCATTGCAGATCCCCTTAAGGCAGATGCAAGTCAGGCATCCTTGTTCTCTGCTCCTAAACCTTCACTATGGTGACTAAATTGCCTCTTGCGGTACCAGTTCTGAACTGCATTCTGCTGTAATTTTTTAAAAGGAAGCAATCACATTATACATTATTATCTATGAAACATGTAAGGTGGCTCTGTTTAGCATCTTCAGAGTTGCCTATTTGTTTACATAGTGTTTCTGAGGGTTAAAGGAAAAATGGTTGATGTAATTGCCCTATAAAAAGTCAATTAGAAGTGCAGATGGATGAAACTGCAACAAAGTATTTATTAAGCAGGGAAAATGAGCACTTAGGCTGTGTGGTCTTTCTGCATGTAGGGAGTGTTCTTTACAAGGAAGAAACTACACAGAATCCGTAACAGATATTCCAGAGATTCGAAGAGCTGCAACCACTTAACAAAATTCTACTTTTTCTCCCTAATGTAGACAAGCAAAACTTGTGGGTTCCCAGTAATTTCTTACAGTCAAAACTGTAATTACATATGGGATTTGCCAAGATATGTCCTTTAAAGATAAGAAAGATATTCTTGTGAGCAGATATTCTTGGGACTGAACAGAAGAGTGGCTTGCATTTGAATAGTTGGGATTCTTTTGAAGGCTAGATGCTGCTCTAGTGTCCTTCCATTTTTGCACGAATTATAAGCATTTGAATTTGTTTCGATGCATTTTCAAACGGGAGGAAGTTTGTAGTAGAACTAGTTGGTAAATATGGGCGTGCTAACCTAGTGCTTCTGACTTGGAATAGAATTTTTCCACAGATGGTTTTGATCCAGTACACGAAGTGAGGGCAGAGGGTGTTTCTGTGCTGCTCGTGCTCCCTCTGCTGGTTGTTTTTTGTTTTGTTTTGTTTTGTTTTGTTTTTTTTGTTTTGGTTTGGGTTTTTTTGGCGGGGGGAAGCATGTAACGGGAGAAGATATCTGGCTGAAGTACTCGGCTGCATGAAAAGCAGACTTAATGGAAGAATAGGCTAGCAGTCAAAAAGGTTGAGTGGAATCTCTTAGCTGAGATCTTAGTTCGTCTTCCTGATTCCATTATTTGTAACGTTGTCTCTAATTATACGATGCACAGTTTTCAACAGAGCTTCAGTCTGATGAGACCAGTAACTTAATTAGCCCACTTTTATCTGTTGTGGAAGTTAAAACCCGCTTAGGAAATGCAGCAGCACTCTGGAAACAGGGAGAGAAGTTTTAAGAGTCAACAAGCTCAGTTTAAGTGTCTCCACTTTTCCCAGTTTTTGACTGTTTTGCGACGTTACTGTTAAGTTTACAAGGAACCCATAAGGAATAGAAGTCATCGTCATGGCTAGGCTTCGGGAACGAAGATTTGAGAAGGGTTCTACCCACGCTTGCTACAAGTGCGCTGATGGCTAAAAAGGCCAATGCGAGATAGACAAGTCCGGTTGCAGAAGGTACAGCAGAAAGACTCCCCAGGTGATATCGACGAGACGAGAAGCAGTGTTTAATAAAACCAAATGCTGTATTGCAGGAAGTACACAGGGTGTTCAAATATCTAAAATACAGTTTAAAAAATAAAATCACGAAACACAAATATGCAAACTGATAACAGGTTGCGTGTGTATAGATACAAATGCACATAACTATTTTGTATTAATTGAGATAACAAGGATATAGTAGCATATCCTGAATCTCTCAAAATTTATGTTGAGCCATAAGATGAATGTTCATATGCACTAAAAAGTGAGTGAGAGACTGCAACGAGTGGATATGGTTGATCTTCTTAAAAAAAACTTAGCAAAAATGCTGCCAGGAAAGTAAGCCACAGTTTCATTAAATACACAAATTGCTGGAAGATTGATATGGAAAACTTTTATTATTGACCAGAAAACAACAAGATCCTTGATTTCTATCTAGAAAAAAAATTTGATAGTTTTATGAAATCGTTTGTATATCTTCATTAAATTGATTTTAATCTATCAAACTAAAAACTAAAATTAATCTGTAACTATGTAATAATAATCTGTGTTATTTCTACAGTCAGTAAGAACACTTAGAATAATATTCAATCAAAATTATTATCAAATATTTGGGAAAAGTTTATGATCACAATGTAAATTTTTTCTTTGTGAAGAAATTATTCCAAAAAATCTGCATTTTTTATTTCTTTTAGAATGCATTACTCTACAGAATGTGATAAACGGTCTAACACAAACCATTGAAAACCAGTGTAATGTCAAAGGTAAAGGCAAAAATGTTCTTATGTATGCTGTACTGTAATTTCAAATGAGCAGGCATTTAATGTTTTTGTTTATATTTACTGTTTTTTTCCAGACAGAGAAACTCACTGCCAGACAAACAGAAAGTAAAAAAATATTTCTCAAATCAATCTTGTGCAGTAATAAATGTCTATTGCTATAATTCTACTTAGAATCCACATGTAAAAAAGTTCTGCTTCAGTGAGGTTATTTTAATCAATACTTGGGCTTTAAATTTATTTCAGTATAGCACAGACAATTTTACAAAAGGTTAGAAAGCATCATTCAGCCTTTCATCTGTATTAAAGTGTTTAAGCATAGTTTTTATGACATTAAACCGAAGAGTCTTAATGCGTAGTATAATGTTCTTGAAGTTTTGCCATTATTCATAAATACTTGAAAATTACTAAGTTGTAGTTGAAAATACATAAATATTTGCTATATCTTTACACTACAGTTCCACTATAGTTAATTTTATGTGTTCAAGGCATATTAGCATAAATATTAATAAACCTCTAAAACTGGAAGTATATTGCTGCTTTTAATACTCAAACTTATATTATTTTTTTTAAAAGCATCTGTTTTTCCTTAATTCTGGTTTTGAGGTACTACTTTTTAGTTTTTAGGAAACAAGTACTTAAAGACTTGCATCTTCCAGCTTGAAACTGCTGGAGCCATGATAACAGTCTTTTATTTTCTGAGTCAAAGAACTTTGCATCTAGATTTTCTTGAATACATCATTTATCAGGAGGCTAAAGACATTTCCAAGTAGTAGTACCAGGCAAATACTATTATTAAACTATGATTGATAAAAAATGGAGAATGAGAGCATGTAATTCTGTAAATGATAACTATTATGCCTATAAAAAAGTTTCTTAAAGTTCAGCCAAGACAAAAAAATGAAAGGAATTTCCTTATTCTGCTTTCATGCTAATGATATTGTTAAAATAGTGTGTCATGTAGCTTTTTATTTATGTAGATGAAAATGATAGACTGAAGAGTACCATTCGCATCCTGGAAGATAAATTAAAGGCTTGTGAAGAGGTACGTCACAAATGATCATTCTTTAGGTAGAGGAATAATATTTTGTATCTCTTGTAGCAGTTCATATATCTTTATATTCTTGGGTTTGCTGTTGACACCCTTATTGTTGCTCTTCTCTTAATGTTTATCGTGTAAAAAGGGAAAGGTTGGTCTCATGACAGCACCCATGTGAGAAGAGACTGAGAAAGAACTTTAAAAAGTTAAAAGAACTGAGAGATTAAAACCATATAGGTGATGAGAACTCAGTCTATAAGATGCACTTGGGGGTTTTTATCTCTATTTAGCTTTAAATTCAGGTTTAAATTCTAACCTGTTGTATTGGAATAATTTTTTGCGTGCAAATAAGGTTTATTCAAGATGCGTGATTATGCTGCCATAGAATCAAGAATGGTCTGAATTTTGTCTAGTTTCTTTGGGAATAAATACTACAAAGATAATAGGTCTCTACTTCTTATCTGTGTCTCATAATAAATTTGTGATCTCTCTCTGTTTTATCTATGGCACTCGTTTTTGCAAAGGAGGTAAAATCAGTAGGGCTAGTCATAATTTGTGTTAGTTTTCTGTGCACAAAATGCAGATCTGTTATCTGTACAGGATTAGGAATATCACTGATTTACTTTATCTGTGTTTGTACAATGAGTTGAATATTTATACAATTTGCATGCTCAGACTCTGAGTATCAGTGCCACCAGCATCACTACTGCTGGTATTTCTACTGCTGCCAGTATGAAGTTGTGGAATCCTTGGTATAAGCAATACTAACAAAATTCATACTTAAAATAAATTTTTTTAAATGCAATCTTAAAGATCCACAAAAGTAAAACTGTAGTCCCTGAACTAACTGCAGTGTGTCAGATCCCAGACTGGGGAAAGGAATATTGCCTCTCCATTTACCTGTTCTCTTAAGAAGTACAATTTCTAATTTTACGTTAGCTGACAGCTGCAGTACAATGAAATCTGCTACATTTTTCATCTGAGGACTTCAGCCAGACTGGGTAAGAAGTAACTTGGCATGTTGAATTTACAAGATTGAGGATCAAACAAGTACTGAATTATAGAGTATATATTATAGAGCATATAATTTTTGCCTGTTTCTTGGGCTTTGCAGAATCTGCAAGGTTTTTATAAAACATTTTACATTCACAGGAATATAAAGATCAGATTGAGAAACTCATGACAGAAATTAAAAACAAAGAGGAAGACCACAAATTAGAAATAACACAGTTGAATTGCGATATAAGGAAAAAACGTGAGTTCTCTGAAGACTGAATGCTATTGCATAGGGCAAAATGTTGTATAAGCTGTAGGAGCTACATTTCCTCTAAAAGCTCCACTTTTTTTGTGGAGACGTGAACACTAGAAGTGGACAATGTTTAACTGAATTTTATCTTTGCTAAAGAGCAGACAGTGACAATAAGGCAACACTGGATGAGGAGAATTTCCCAAACAGAACAAATGCTGAGAACTTGGACCTAAAAATCTGAAGGAATGAAATTTTGAGTAAAGTGTAGACTGGAAACTTGATTTGAACCATAAGCTAGACTGCTGTTTGAGTGTTCTATCTATGTTCAGGAGAGTAGGACATTATTTTTAATAAATAATAATACTGCAGTGAGAAAAAGCTGATTTCAATATTATTTTTTTCCATTAGAGGCATAACCTTGGAGAGTAGGATTTTTTGCTCATCCACATAGCTGAAAACAACTAGAAAAGTTTTTGTAAAACAAGATGATTTTTTAAAGAAACACCATCTTACTGGGATGGGACAGGGTGGTTTTCGATCTGTTTTGGTAAGGTTTTTGCTTGAATGACGATGTTTTCCAATTAAACACTCACCTGATATTCAAGGAAGTTTTAATATTTAGGAAATTATGTTATTTTTCCATCAAATCTTCTATAATCATAATATTTGGTGATTCTTTGTTGCTAGTTGAAGTAAAAGAAATGGAGTATAGAGAAGAGAGAGAGAAAAAAGAACTGGAAATACTAGAGCTAACAAGACAGCTGAAAATTCAAAATGAAGAGAAGCAAAATGAAATAATCAAACTGCAGATAGAGGTAGGCATTACAAAGCTGAAAATATTAATTAGTACTTAACAACATAATATGATGAAATCTAAAAAACTTAAAAAATTATTGTCTTTACGAAGATCAGTGGCATATGCTCCCTTCCTCAGGAAACTGACTCACTTCTGCTCAGGAATCAAGTTCTACCTACTGTATAGGGAGACTGAAGTTTGCACTGTTCTTGTGTTAAATTAAACTACTTTGAAACTTTTCTAGGTTTTTGAGCCATTAAAAAAACTGAAACAACATTTTCTGCTTAACTTTCTTGGGTTTAATTTCTAAATTATGGGAATTTTTTTTTTTTTTAATAAACTCCCAATAAAGAATTCTAATCCCGCAGAGATTTAGGTCTAAGCATTCAATATGTATTTCACTGCTCAGGTTTTAAACCCCTCTTGTTACAGAAATAATTAGGGAAATACTTCAAATCTTTCACATATCAAAAAAAGAAATAAAGTGTGAAAGTGTTCTTGCTAAGTTGCTCTTGAAAATGAGGGAAGGATGATGGTTTCAGAGTTTTTTAGCATCCTCTGCATTTTCCCCTCCTGTGTCTCAGGAGCCTTCAATTTATTTTTTTTCAATAATGTCTTATACATCAACATTTTTTTGATAATATTTGTACTACATATATTTTGAAATATTTTGAGGCTTTTTTTTAAAGAATCAAAACTTGTAATTTCGTTCTTTCTTTTAAATATACCTACATTTTCCTAGGATTAATTAGTAGATAAGCTTGTTATTACTAGTCTCAGGTGAAAAATGCAACTACAAAAAAAGTGAAAATTATACTTGAATTATTTACTACACCTTTTTTTCCTGATGGTTCTTACTGTTTTGTCTTTGCCTGATTCTTTCAGTTCAACGCTAAATTAGCAAGAGCTCAGGATAAAACCACCAGGTCATTTTCAGATGCTTCTGTCTTGCCACAAAGTATCTATCGAAGGGTATGTGCTTTAATAGCTCCTGTTCCACAGATACCCAGTGCTGTTACAGCCTGTTTGAAAAAGGACTTCCCTGGCTCTTGCCCGTGTCTGTGTGTTCTCTCCCACATACCCTCCCACACCCAGACAACTAAATTCATAGAATCATAGAATAATTTAACTTAGGACAGACTTTTAAGATCACTGAGTCCAACCGTCATGTCTTTTTGCATATTGATACCGCTGGGGTTCAACAACAAAGGGCCACATGTGAGGTGGTTTTCTATGAGAGAAAATGACTAACCTGGTTTTCTATGAATGAAATTACTAACCTGGAAACTTAAGACAGAACTGACATAAATGACACTGATATAAACTGTCTGTGGGCATTTTTTTTTTTTTTTTTTTTGTAGGCTTGAGACTTTGGGATGTCACAAAAATAGGATTCCGAGGAAGTAATCTTGGTCATTCTGTAATACAAAATAATGAGGAAAAACATTCTTATTAGAAAATGTCTCATTTGCAGTAGCAAATTGTATTGATATATGATTCTGTGTGATGTTTAACAGTGAAGCCTTTGCTTGCATTTTTACAGAAGCTGCAGCATCTCCAGGAGGAGAAAAACAAGGAAATTGAATTTCTCCGAAACACCATAAGAGACTTAGAGCAACGTCTTCATAAAGGCCAAGACCTGCACTTAAAACGGAAGCGATTTTGAGTAAATTACATGAAGTATTTCAGTAGTACATATAATGCAAATACAGATGGTGTATTTCAAACTGTGCATCTCAAAGTCAAAACGATATATGAAGATAGTATTTTTTATTGAAAATGCTCTTGTCAAATATTCCAAAGGCATGCACTCTGTGTACATTCAGGGCTATACTCTTGCTAGTCAGCATTCACAATAAAAAGACTCAGGTTTTGCAGGACTAATAATTTCCCTATCAAACCATCATTAATTATGGTGTATGCTTTCATAGCAGTTTTCCTTTCATAAATACTATTTTCTTCATCCAGAAATCCTTCAAACAACTGGTTTTACTTCCATTCAGTTAATGAAACAATAGAAACGCTAAGCTACAAACAGAGAAATTATACAAGTTTCAGTGGTATATTACCTTACTAATCAATACAGATTTATTGAATTCAGCACTGTTATAAACAAAGATAAACTTTATACTAAGATTAAACTCCTTTTATCCCTCCCTTTTATTGATTCTGACACTCATTCTGTATGAATAGCTGTTAACACTGCTTCTTGCTTAAGGCATGATCTTACTGATTTAGTAGGATTATGTATTAATTGATCCTTTTATTGTATCTAAGACACAAAAGTTAAGCATATAAATCTGTTACTTTAAAATAATGTAGTTACTGTTTGTATATTACATTTTGAACAAAAAGTTATTTTGTCACATGGCTTAGGAATAAGTTTTTGTGTACATAGTTTGTATCCCCAGGTTAGGAAAAAAAAATCTAACTCAACTTTTGAATAAAAATTGATTAAACTATCTGTCTTGGTTATCTTCTGTTCTTTATTGCAAAACATCAAACAGGAGCCCCTAGGTCATAGTTTATGCTCCTGTCCTCAAAAATGCAAGCAGAATGTTAGAAGAAAAACAAGAAAGACAAATTAATCAAGAATGCAGACACCTTCCCAGTGCACCCAAAAAACAAACTAGCGGACAATTAAATTCCTTTAAATTATGAAGCTTTTCACTGATGGAATTTGACAGGTATTCTGTAATTTTAAGAGCACTGCTCTAAAAGTCTACTTCTTTGCCATATTCTAATTCCACACACCTGTCAGTTTAAATTTTAATTCTGGGCAACAAAAACACCTAATCTGTTAATTTTTACACTCTTGCAACGAATTTAGTTAATAGGATTGCCTTGTATTTTGAAGGTGCTTAGTTTGTTTTTCAGGCTCAGTTTCTCGCCTTTTCCTGTCACTGTCAGGTGTCACTGGTTTCACTTCCTCCTGCTGCTGCTGACTGTCAGGCAGCAGAGAGCAGACGTCACTGTCAGGATTCAGTGATGTCCTCTGCTGCCAGCTGGCCATGTCACCTGCAAGAATTTGGAAGTGTTCCATGACACTGTCAAGTGACAGAATTTCCTAACTCTTCAAACAGAAGGTGTCGACAATGACAGCATCAGCTACTAGAAGTAGAGTCTGATGCTGTCTGCCAGTTTCAAGTCAACTGGTTCTTACAGCTGTTTTTCCCTTTTTTTCATAGCTTTTTCTCTTGTGTAATATCCACACTTTCTCCTGGAGGAGCAGTGTCTACCTGCTCATGATTACCTAACTGGTCGTGTCTGTGATGGCCAAATACTCTGTGGCGCCGGCCGCTGTGAGGGGGGTGTCTTTCAGTTTCAGAGGAAGCCTGGCTGTTCTCCTTTTTGGGGTGATGACTGCTGTGCCGGTGATGGTGGTGGCGGTGGTGGTGGTGTCCATGTCTGTGCAGGTTGTGGTGATGGGAGTGCTGACCAGTTGGTTTCGGTTCTCTCTCTTCTAGCTTATCTGCTTTCCTGGTGATGTTTTCACATATATCATCAATGTCAGGTTCCTGAAAAACAGAGGCTTCCGTCAAATATGAGGCACAGTATTTAACTAGTTGTAAAATATTAATTAACATTTTTGCAGAACCTGAAATCCAGTTTTAAATTATTTGTGCCACTTTGTTGAAGAACGTTTGAATGTATCAAAAATAACCTTGTTGCAACACCACTGATAACAGGGCTCTTAATATAAGCTTTAAGCAATTACAGTACCAGTAGTTGCTAATAACAAGTATTTTTTTCCTAGATCTCACATCTCACCTGCCTGTGGCCTATATTTAGATGGAAAACTGCATTATAGGATCAGAAATTATTATTCCTATTGAACTTTCATGACTATGTATGTACAGTTCTTGATAATCCTTAGAGTAGTTCTGATCTTTAATTATACATAAAGCTACCCTTCTTTTATAGCAGTAACAATAATTTGTCATCTTGTACTATCAGTTTTTTTAAATTAACTGTTGTATAATGTGTTTAAATGCAAACTTAAATGAATATGTAAACCTCAAACCAGCTTTGCTTCGATTCCCAGGTTTAAAAAAAACATACTATCCGTTTATGTCTTTACCCATCCCCCAAGACTAGAGTAGCTAATTGCTCACTAGCTGTATATAACTCCACAAACAGAATTAGCCTCCAAGATTACAATTAGGTTTCTGACAATTATTTCTATCACGGGCAAGTATTCTGATAATCAGTCTATTATAAATTAGATCTAATAATTTGGAAAAATGTTTAAAAACTCTCTGGCAAGACACATGAAATGTGTACATTTTAAACCATGTCTTTGTGGATTAATCTCACTGAAATAATTTTTTTTTAAGAACCAGTCAAATCCAGTTTCCTGTCCTAGTAGACACAGAATGAGACAAGAAAATACCGTGTAAGAGCAGTTTCCACACTTGTTTTCACAGTATGCAATCTTAATAGCTTCTTCTACATATTGGAAATGCAAGAAGGAATAGGGCAGTCCCAGATGATACACCAGACGGCCACATCTAAGGAGAGAAAGAATTATGGTTACATGTACCTGAAATTAAATCTCTCCTCTTATCACATCTCATTTTAGTCACATCATCCACCCACACTGTATAGTCCCATGGAAAGTGTACCTGTTCAAGGAGTTTACAGGCAAATGCACTGTCTTGCTTATAAATGGTTGCCTGCTCAACTGCATCAGCCAGTAGCATGCAGAGAGATTTCTGGCTGTACTGGCAGAAGCTTCTGAGTCAGTAGCCCTTAGACTAGCAAAGGTACACTCATTACAGGCTATCTGGCTGAGGAGGGCTGTTTTCACAGCACTTGTTGCATCCTAACATGTTTTTTATGTAACAACATGTTTTTATGTAACCTCATATGTATTTTGATTGGAAAGTGCATTGTGGTGCATCTCCATTACTGATTTAGTGTACATAAGGGGATTTGTATGCTGCCTATTTGCTCCATGTCTGTACTTGAGCGTTCTGATATGCATTTGACTACACTACTGGTCAGTTTGAAGGAGTTGAGTAAATCCAGAACCTGTACACAAGGGCACCTTGTTAAATACCCACCTGTGTGTGGGCCTCTAGCCTTAGCTCCTTACATGTCTGCAGTGAATGTCCTGCAACAGGCAAACCCACTTAGAATGCTCTTTGCAGTAACATAACTAGGACAGATTTCAGTTAGAGTTATTACTGGCTCTGCCAAATTATACAAGTGCCAGAATCCTGTATCAAAAAGTTATTTTCTGCTGAAGTTTTAAGTTTCAACTGAAGACTAATTTTTCCATATGTCTACATTTTCAACAACTCTGGTCTGGTCAAAATGTTTCCACTAGAACTTGGATAGCTTTCCTCCTTGATTCTACTTTGACATGCATGGGTGTAATGAAGTTACATTACATGTCTGAAATCATGTCTGAAAATAAAAACAGTGTAAAACAAGAAAAATGTTATTAAATTCTGCACTCAGTTACATTAATCTAAATACACATTAATTATAAAGAAAAATTATTTATTCAAAAATTACTGCAAAAGTAGACTTTTTCTCCAGTAAACTTCAGCTTAGAAGCTGATCATGATGTCTTTGTTATTTGCACATAAATGAAATAACATAGATTTACAAAGCATTACTCTAATTATATACAAATATTTTCCTGTGTTTCTCTGTAAACACACACCTGTCATAGATGAGAAAGTCATCCTTGTTTCCATTTAAGGTAGTCCAGACGTCATCTTGTTGTTGTTCTTGTTGATAGACACTAATATAGTCTGAAACACGTTCTTTCAGTAGGTGAAATTCCCTCTGGGATTGAGCTCCCTGATGGTTGACAACCACATACGAGATGTTGACCAGTCCTTCATTCTCTAACTTTACTCGCAGGTCCTCCAATCTAGTGGGAATGTAAAGAAGCAAGACCATAAATCATTAGAGAATCATAAGATTTGCCAAAAAAGTGAATATGCTTCATCTTGCTTTCGTTACAGTGGAAGTTATTTTATCCCAGTTTTAATGGCAACAGTCTAACACTATTAAAACATTCTTGCCATTTTCCATGATTATCAACTATACTGTCACCAAACCAGATTTTACAACAGCTAATATGCCATGAGTCCTGTCCTTGTAAGTAGAATGCAGTAAATCAGACATCTGTTTTCAGACTGAATTCAGTGTTATTTTTATATCAGCTCTTTCATAGTTTCCATGGTCTAACACAGTTTATTTGATGCCTTTATTCGAATGCTGAGGGTTTGACTGTATACTCGGTTAAAGAATACACACCATAATAATAATGGCCAGTCTTCGCGAACGAAGAACCGGGGAAGGTCTTTCCACCTTCCAGCCAGCGCATTGGATTTTTTAGGTGAGACACAGTGTGCGCGGAGCTGAGCCCACCCTTTAATCCTAAGGTTCATCTGCTGGGGCCAAGCACGCTTGGACGGTGGCAGCGAGGTCCTCAGGACGTAGATGGATTGCCTTACAGGGCTAACGAGCTCCATCTGCCCGGGGAGTGGCCCTGACCGGAAATCGAACCCGGGTCTCTGTGGTGACAGCACACGTCCTTAACCACTAGACCACCAGGGGCTCCCTAATACACACCATAAATACAGCAGGAAAATGAATTATCAAGAAAGCAAACCTGCAGTAAAAGGTCAACAGCCCTCCCACTCATCTTGACACGGCTATTTTCTGTAATGGCCAGAAAAGGGCTATTACAGCAGTGGGGTAAAAATGAGTGCTATAGAAACTTTGTGCACAATCTGTGTGGCAGTTGTTAGTCTTTTCTCTGGCTTTTCATCACAAAAGTATATTTCTGCTAATAGTAGAGAAAGCCGATTCTTGCTTGATGTGGGATTTCTTCCTTTTAATTTGTATCCTTCCTATTGAATGCTCTAGAAAACTTTACATTTTCAGTTGCAGGAAATAATCTAGAATGTGAAAAATTCTTTTAAATCTTTCTAAAATGTGAGAATCAAACCTAACTACCTTGAAAGCCAACTGCAAAGCCCACCTTTGACTTTGATAGAGCTAGAGATTTACCAATGCTTTTTCAAATCCAATTCTCAGTAAACTTTCAAAGCCTATTGTACTGTGAAGTTATGCAGCCACAAGGGGCAAACTAAGATGTTCTTACTGTGACTAAAATTAAGTCTGAAACAAGTATAATTAATTTTGAAGCCAAACTGATTTCACGATCACTAAATGAATCCAAGATAAAAGCTTTATACAATTCCTGTTTGGATCATCTCAAAATTATTTTCTTGCTACTGTTACTGTCATGATAGGTAATTATTTGCAAAGAGTGGGTTCTAGAAATCACAGCCCCAGTGTCCCAGTCCTGTATGAAAACATAACAAAGCTGACTTCTTTGAATGTTTCACCTAATTTTTGAAAGGCCACTCTTTACCTTATCTTCTGGATTTTTATGTATCATAGAATCAGCCGAGTTGGAAAAGACTTCCAAGATCAAGTCCAACCCTTGATCCAACACTGCTGTGGTTTACTAGACCGTGGCACTAAGTACCACAAACAGCCTCATCTTAAAAACCTCCAGGGACAGTGAATCTACCACCTCCCTGGGAAGCTCATTCCAATGTCTGATTACTCACTCTCTCTCTAAAAAATGCCCTCTTGTCCTACTGCTGATTACCTGGGAGAAGAGACCAACCCCCACCTGGCTACAACCTACTCTCAGGGAGTTGGAGAGAGTGATGAGGTCTCCCCTGAGCCTCCTCTTCTCCAGACTAAACAACTCCAGCTCTCTCAGCCTCTCCTCATAGGACTTGTGCTCGAGTCCCTTCATCAGCCTGATTGCTCTTCCCTGGACCCGCTCCAGCACCTCAATATCCTTCCTGAACTGAGGGGCCCAGAACTGGACACAGCACTCCAGGGGTGGCCTCACCAGCGCTGAGTACAGGAGAAGAATCACTTCCCTGCTCCTGCTGGCCACACTGTTCCTGATCCAGGCCAGGATGCCATTGGCCTTCTTGGCCACCTGGGCACACTGCTGGCTCATGTTCAGCTTCTGTCAATCCAAACTCCCAGGTCCCTTTCTGCCTGGCTGCTCTCCAGCCACTCTGTGCCCAGCCTGTAGCGCTGCAGGGGGTTGTTGTGGCCAAAGTGCAGGACCTGCCACTTGGCCTTGCTGAACTTCATCCTGCTGGAATCAGCACAACTCTCCATATATGTGTGTGTATACATATATATATATATATATATATATATGAGACTTCTGAACGCAGGCTGGAAAAGCACACTAAAATCATATGTTTTGATTTGTCTTTTCCCCTACAGATCTTACGTAAGAAATGAGTGATCACAGATCTCTATTTCATGTGATCTTGCCATGTTAGAGAATCGCGATGTTTCTTGGCTTCAATGCCTTTGCTGTCTTAATCATCTGTTTTAACTGAAGCATAATCTTGAGGAACTGTTTCTGTTGGGGTTTTGTGTGGTTTGGGTTTCATTAATATCAAGTGGATCACATTAATAGGTTGTAAATATAATTTGGAGAGGATGATCTGTCAGTCAGTACTAAGTCAAGAGATAAAGAATCTTATCCAGTGGCACAGAACCCTCCTGCTGAGAGTGAAGCTGGTCACTAGGTCACACATTGCAGCTGCAGTGGTGGCGTTTGAGGCAGCCAGAGTTCATGGAGTGCATTGTGGTAGGGCACACATAGTATCCTCAGCTGGGTAACGAAAACTCGGAAGACATTTATGCTTACCTAGAAGCCTGCTGCAGGCACAATAATCAGCTAGCCTGGAGGAGAGCTACCACTGTCACTGTGCCTCTGGAGTTCTGCATTGGGTCCTCCTCCCCAATACGCCATTCTGGAGGCTCCTGGCAGTTCTGGACCTCAGCCCCCCCTCCTGGGAGGAGGCAGAGAGCCAGAACTAGCCCCAGCCCTGCCCACATGGCTGGGCTTTTCCTGAGAAGAGAGAAAATAAAAATGAGATCAATACCTAAAGTTCAGACTCTGAAACTCCCATAAGAAAACACAGCAGCATTTTCACTCCATTCAGTCCAAAAAAGGAAAAGATCAAACCTTCAAGAATAAATTTGAGCTACTTTGTTTACTGCTCAATATCTTTGATTTTGCAGTGGAGTTCCCCTATAATAAATAGGCAGGTTGTTTGGCTTGTTTGGGGGTTTTTTGTTGTTTTTTCTTACTTGTTGTTGGGAGGATTATTATTGCATTTGAACAGCTGAAAATAACCATTTAGAATAATTGGATTTTCTCTTAATACTACTAATCAGACAAAGTTATTTCTTCCTCTTAGTAATTTCTTCTTGATTATTTTTACCACTTCGGTTACTTTAAAGTGGCCTGTTTCTTGTTTTCTGAAATCAGTTGTGCTGAGCTAGTTTACAGTAGTAACAATCTAGACCAGTTCACTCCAGATTCCAGCGTAATTCCACTGACTTAAAAGTACATGCACCAGCACTGTATTTCAGCACCCAGCAAGTACTACAGAACCTGGCAGAAAAATAATAAAAAAATATTTCAAGATTTTTCCAAGTCTTTCTGGAGTATTTGGATCCCACTGTGAAAATCTCTTAAAAAGACAGGCACTAGAAACAATTTTGCAAAAACAGGAAATGAAGACTGAGTTTCAGGATTCCTCAGATCTTACAAAATCTCATATTCACACTTAGTCCTTTTAATGTTTATGAAAATCAAAGCACATGAAAAATTCTGTAATTACCTTTTCCTTTTATTCCATTAACATCACAATTTTGGCTTGAAATGTTCAGAACATACTCATTATCAAGAAATACATAAAGTCATAAAGCTGCTCTCCAACTTGTGGAATTGTATAACTTCACCACTTACATCAAAGTCTCACAGAAAACACAGAATAGTCTGGAAACAACAAGGTCTGATAAATAACACGTGTTTCATCAATCTTTTTGTATTCTAGGAAAATTAAAACCTTTTAGTAATTGATCTTTTAAAACAAGAGCCAGCTGCTGCATTTGTGAAATCCAGCTGTCCCTAATGTTTCTTTTCTGCAGTTCTACCAAAAGCATTTTAGGTTCAGTACTTTAAAGACTAAACTGTGGTCCAGTAGATACCAATAGAGCTCTTTCTTTTGCTCCTTCCACATTATCAGGAAAATCTCCTGCCTTTGCATCCATTATGCACGGATGGAACTCTTAGGACTTTTTGAGATCCTTCTATGCCTTTATAGTAGCCTCCTGCAGCACTGGCATGCAGTGCCCAGCAACAGCTGTCTCACCCTGTGAGCCACAGGAGAGCTATGTTCTATGTTATACTTCTCTTCACATTTCGACTGTATAGTTTGTTTCCAATGGAAATTTCCACAGTCAGCCTTTTCAGCCAAAGAAACAAGCAGACACACTGCCAAATCTTAAGTCATGAAGCTCTTTCACAGCAAAGCCAGCACACTTACCCTTTTCCTCCTCCCCCTTCTTGGCAGCTCCGCCTGGCTCTGCTAGAGAAGAAAACAGTGCGGGGAAAAGGGCTGTGGTATTTATATGGCTCTTGTTTATCTCACTTTGCAGCTACGGTTCAAAGTTCAGGGAGCTTTTTCTGAACAACCTTGCAAGCGAAGAAAACCCCTTTAGCAAAAAGAGACAAAATATTTATCCATTAACTAATTCCAAGTGGAAAGCATTTATGGTGCATAATGGCGACATATTTTTAATTTAATGACTTCAGCTTTTGTGTTATGCGGTTTTTTGGTCACCCCAGTCATCTGGAGGTAGTGGTACAGTCAGGGGAGGGGGATGGGCCAAAGAGTCATTATTTTCTGAGCACAGTGGTAACCACAGTGTGGGGGGGAAGGTACTTCTCTATTTATAAAAACGCTGAGCTAGCAGGTTTTTTCTCATGTGCTTTATCTGGTATTTGCCTTAGAGAATGGTGTGCTCTGTCTAAGGACATGTGTATACAGAGCTCCTTTTGCCCAGCTGCTCTTGATTACATCACTCTGCTTTCAAACTTACTTCAGTAGAACTTGCCAGTTTATCAACTTTTGCTGAAAGTTAGAATCCAGAACTTCAGCCATTAAATCGATGTAGCTATGGGAACGTCATGAAGCTCTAGCAATAGCTAACTGGCAATAGCTACACCCTCATCACTGAGGTATCTGAGGGCATTCAGGTTAAACTGTTTCCTTACCCTCTTGCCTCGGTGAGAGAACAGATTATGCATGGGGTGTTTTACTTCAATAGCAGTTTGCCTGGGTTTGATTTCGTTCAAGGTAAATGTTACGTGTGTTGATGGGGAAATAAATATTTAAAAACTGGGTGTGCCCTGAAGAGTTCACAGTGGTGAGATTGACATTGCTTAGTTCTACGGCCTGAGACTGTCTTCTGCACAGATAAGCTTTGTGTTTCTGGCTGGGTGTGAGAAAAAGAACTGCTGACACTGGGGTTTTTATGCTGTAGAGGTCCTATGCACTAGTCAGTAGAAAAGAACAAGGAAAATCGGAACTTTCATTCAATAGTCTTGGATGATACAACGCAGAAAACAGACAGACATCATACTGGGCCTGAAGTTTGTTTAAAAGGTGGAATGTGTTTATATTCCTTATATTGTTAGGGAAACACATCTTGTATTCTTTTCTGGGTTGGGACCAAGCCCTCATATCTGTGATGTCATGTACTATTCCAAATGATAGACAATTTGCTGACCTGCTCCAGGATTGGGTGTTGATTCTCAGTGCTAATAAAGTCCTGTAAGGTTGTCTGGAAGCAAGTATGTGGTATGCACCATGTCCATCAATTCCTACATGAGCACGGAAGCAGCCAAACAGAAATTAAGCAGGGCTTACTAAAAGGAATAGTAAAATTTATTCTGTTAATAGGCCTAACAAATCTATTATTAGGGCTAATAAAAATAACGCAGCTCAGTAGTGACTGACGGTTTCTTGCCAATTATTGCAACATAGGTGAAAATACTCTCAAATGAAGAGCAATATTCCATCCCCATTTCTTTTCTGCTTTGTAGAGAGGATGTGGGCAAGCCTTGATTAACAAGTGCTGAACCCATAAACTACATGTAATACCACTGAGTGCTGCCGAGACATAAAGCCCGCAAGTACCAAAGAGCAAACAGGCCAGCCAGAGTGAACTGAGCTGAAGCAGCTAACACATAAAACAGATACTTTGCTGTGGAAAACACTCTGAGGATTAAAATGTACAATGGTCATTGTACTGCCTCAATAATTTGACTTAAAGCAAATGGCAGGGAATATTATAATCATGGCTGTGGATTAAGATAGAAATGTATAAACATTAAATATGTTTAAAGTTCAGTTGCTTCTCAGTGGAAAAAAAATCCACTTCCACATTTTCTTTTTTACAAACGGAAGATAAAGCTATTAATAGTCCAAGAATTTGACCATTTAATTTCTTATATTAATCCCCCTTCTGTTCATAGGCTTCTGTAGCCCTTTGTCCATAGCTTCTAAAGAAACTATTGTCTTAAATCTTTATTTTGCTTTCCACTGCAAGTATTTTCTTAGTTGTTGAGTTTGTTCCAATCTCACGGCAGGAGGGAGTTATGAACTCTAATTTGGACAAGCCCTCAGTTTTAAGCAATAATTTTTATAATTATCATCCTGTTTCTAATCACTTTCTTCTGGGGGGGAGAATAATAGTCCTGGTAGAAATAACACCCCCCTTCCCTTCTTATTGAACATCAGTTCTCCTTTTTTTGACATGTTTCAAACTTTTCAAAGTATCAGAGCACAGAAATATAATTTGCTGTTTCTCTTATCTTGTTTAATAATGTACACATTTATTAGAAAAACCCTGAAACCCAAAAAAACCAACATGATACCACAACTCAAATGGATAAGGAATTGTGGCTGTCAGAAGTTACATTCTGTTAAAATCTGCTGTAGTGATCTGTAATGTGTGCGAACAATGAGGAGACCGGGGCAGAACACAGATCCAGCACAAATTCTGTCCTGAGGCCTTCGAACTTCAGAGTCTGTTTTGCTCTTGTGACTGAAAGGTGTCACAAGCAGGGAATTCAAAGTCCACTTACAGATCATAAGTCTCTACTAGTTCTTCTCATGTCCTCTCAGACAACTGTGTCAACTCAGTGTAGTTACTCATACTTTAGAGTGGAAAATATTGCAACAACAGCAGGCTGTTAGAGTTACTTAATGCTTATATAAAGAAATTTCCATTTGTTTATGAGGCCTTAAAAACTTGAATAAATGCTGTAAAAAAAGGGTCACTTAAGTGAAGAGTGAGAAGATATATTAAAGTAAATCTATATGCTCCTCTCATGTGAGATCCAGAGCAGCATAAGATAACTAAATGCACACTTCTCAGAATTCAAAGGAAGGAACAACAGCTGACCTTTTCTGATATAGGCCTAAAGACTGTTTCAGTGAACAAAGGAATAGCTGCTACATGCAATTGTCTACTTATAAACAAAATAAGACTTAAAGGAACCCTGATCTAGTAGAAAAATGTTTGGGTTTTCTGCTTGGAAATTCCATTATAATAGGTAAATATCTTTCTCTACTTGAACTTATCGGTAGTACACTGTAATTAGGAAGGGAAATATGTTTTTTATGGTGGTTAAGAAGATCACAGCTGTGTAACACCTGTATTTTTGTATCCCTATCAGTGCCTTTAGTAATACTTGTCAGTCCTGTGATCTATAGAGGAAAACTGAAAATTCCTTTTGTTTGGTGTGACTCTGCTGAGGCTCTTGGTGTTTGGGATAGTAAACCAAAAAGAAGCTAATGTATTCATGCAGTGCCCAAAGCAGGGTATCTGTACAAACCTCCAGTATGGATCTCATATCCCACGCAGTAATCAGTGATCCCTCCTTCTAAGGAATGATGCAGTTGCACCATCAATTCAGCAGGCAGCTTTAGGCTCTCCAGTACGATTCACTGAGTAAATGTATAAATAAAGTGATTACAGATCTGAACCAATAAATACAAAGAAAATTATACAAAACTCTTGATTATTCTGCATTCAGACAGTTCTCTTTACATTAACAGATCAGGTTTTCAGGGGTGTGTAATAGTAATCAAAACTTCAAAAGTATCATCAGCAATACATAAAATAACTCTCCTTAGGAGATGTGGAGGAAAATGATTCATCAGCTAAATCCTCAATAGTTCATTCTAGGTGACTAAATTTAAATGCTTTTCACCAGAAATGCCTGTATCAGCAGGTTCTTGTTAATGATTTATAACAGGTCATCTAGGCATAGTTCACTGCGCTGAACCCTAGCCACAGAATGAAAGTTCAGACAGCCCAGTATGTTGGATTCAGGGACAGTATACAGTGAACCTGACAGGAAGTTCAAGTCTGTTTATCAAGTCTTTGTTTATCTGCTGTGAAATACATTAAAACTGAAGTGAAAACTGGGTCCAACAAAACAGTTCTTTTTCAAGAATTGTTGAACTGTTATTAAAAAATGGATTATGTATTTTTGGTTAAATTTCTTTTTTGTGGCTCTATTTTCCTGAATAATACAGGAATACCTGCAAACATTATGGTCTGTAAGAGATGTTAGGAGAGTTTATAGCTAGATTCAGATAGCTGAGTGCAAGATGGCAATAGTCTTCCATGGAATGAACTCTGACAAACTATAATACTTGTGGCTTCAGCTTTGATTTGCTGATGACACTTCTTTTCAAATAGCATAGTCCTGGAATGCTGAATATGATGGAAAATATTTCTGTCCTTTCCTAGAGCAAGAGAAGGTGAATGTGCCACCCGTAATGAAGGTCTAACTGACTAAATTAACCACTTTTTACTGTTCTGTCTGTTCTGGAAATTCAAAAGCAGCTGCCATTTCAGCATCAAAGGCCTCTAAGTAGCCAATTGTATGTGAACTGCTGAAACAATTTGCAGAGGAAATAAAAAAGTAGATCAGTCCAAGTAATGGTTTTCATTTATGAAAATATACTTTGCTGCTGCAGCATACAGGAAGCTGAGATTGAGAGCCATCTACTCCCACCATGAATTAAAACCATTTTTGCAGAAAGGGAGCTCTGACTACTATAAACAACTCCAAACATAAATACCTGAAGTGGTAGCTATAGGAATATTGTAAAGCAATACTGACCTTCTGAGGACTGTTGAAAGAACTAAACTGTTTATTAAATGTAAAAGTAGAAGGAAAGCTGTGCTGATATATATCATATGCTTGCAAAAATTAAACCCTGAACAGACTGTCTGACTCTGAAGTCTGGGTGAGTCAGATTTTTTCTTTTACCTGATTTAGATCAGAAAACAGATTTGGTATGTGAGGAGGACTTACAGCAGCTGTCTTACGGTAACACCTTTGCTATTGTTGTCTGGGCCATTATTAGTCAGCAATGACAACTGGCATTTGGCCCCTGCCTAGATTTGATTTCTATTAACAAAGCTATACTGGCTTACAAGTTGTGTCTTCAGCAGACAGTACTTTATCAAGTGTTTAACCTGTTGTTGCTGTACAGGTGTACAGGTACTTTGTGTCTGCAACCTACACTCAGAATGCAGTGACTGTGTCTATAGTAACCTGGGTGACTGCACACCTTCTGGAAGCGCTAAATGCTTAAACACTGCAGTATGTAATAGAATCACAGAATCATACAAAAGTTTGAATTGGAAGGGACCTTAAAGATCATCTAGATCAGACTCCTCTGCCATGGGCAGGGATACCACTCACTAG